AAAAAAAAAAAAAAAAAAAAAACAACAACAAAATATAAAGCCTCAGCAAACACAAAATCAACAACAATAAAAAAGATGAAAAGAAAATACAGAAAGAAAAGCGAATCAGCACAGAAAATTAAGTGGAACAAAGAAACTGTGAACAAAAGAAAAAAAAAAACACATCAAAATGACAGCACTAAACTCATACCTATTAATAATTATGCTGAATGTAAATACACTAAGTGCACTAATAAAGAGACAGAGGGGCAGACGGGATACAAAAACACAATCCGTCTTATGCTGCCTACAAGAGACACACCTGAAAGACAGAAACAAACTAAAACTCAAAGGATGGAAAAAAACACCAAGCAAACAACACTCAAAAAATAGCAGGAGTGGCAATATTAATCTCTAACAGACTTTAAAGTAAAATCCACAACAAAGGATATGGAAGGACAAAGGGTCCTTAGCAGGAGGATGTAACTATAATAAATACTTACGCACCCAACGACAGGGCTCCAAAATACATTACACAAACTCCAACAGCACTGAAAAGAGAGATAGACAGCTCCACAATAGCAGCACTGTTTACAACACCAAAAAGATGGAAACAACCTAGGTGCCCATCAACGGACGAATGGATAAACAAATTATGGTATATTTACACAATAGAATACTACACAACAATAAAGAACAACGATGAAGCTGTAAAACATCTTATAATACGGAGGAAGCTGGAGGTCATTACGCTGAGAGAATTTACTCACAGAAAGACAAATATTGTATAAAGCCACTATTGTAGGAACTCAAGAAAAGGTTTAAATACAGAAGAAAACATTCTTTGATGGTTATGAGCGTGGGGAGGGAGGGTGACGGTTATTCGCTAACTAGATAGTAGGTAAGAATTATCTTAGGTGAAGGGAAAGACAGCACACACTATAGGAGAAGTCAGCACAACTGGACTAAAGCAAAGCTAAGACATTTCCTGAATACAATCCAACACTTTGAGGGGCAGAGTAGCAGGGGTAGGTGTCTGGGGACCATGCTTTCAGGGGATATCTAGGTCAACTGGCATAACAAAGCTTATTAAGAAAATGTCCTGCATCCTACTTTGGTGAGTGGCGTCTGGGGTCTTAACAGCTTGCAAGCAGCCATCTAAGATGTATCAATTGTTCCCAACCACCTGGAGTAAAGGAGAATGAAGAACACCAAAGACACAAGGAAAGTATTAGCCCATGAGACAGAAAGGGCCACATAAACCAAAGACTTCATCAGCCTGAGACCAGAAGAACTCGATGGCGCCTGGCTACCACCAGTGACTGCCCTGACAGGGAACACAGCAGAAAGTCCTGGATGGAGCAGGAGAAAGATGGGGTGCAGAACTCAAATTCTAGTAAGAAGACCAGACTTAATGGTCTAAGACTGGAGGAACCCCGAAAAGCATGTCCTCTTGATTCTCTATCAGCCCAGAACTAAAATAATTTCTGAGGCCAACTCTTCAGACAGGGATTTGACTGGACTGTGGGTCATAAAGTGATACTCATGAGGAGTATGCCTCTTAGCTAAAGTAGATACAAGAGACTAAATGGGCAGTTTCTGTCAGGAGGTAAGATGGGAAGGCAGAGAAGGTTAGGAGCTGGTTGAATGGACATAGGGAACCAGAGTGGAAAGGAGGAGTGTGCTGTCAGAGTATGGGGAGAGTAATTAGAGTCACGTTAACAACATACGTATAAATTTTTATATGGGAAGAAATTTAAAAAATAATAAAAATTTCTAATTCTAAACCAAAAAGTAAAAAAAAATCATACCAATGAGAACACTTTTCATCCAATTATTAAAGTTTCTTAGGTAAAAAATACGGCTTTGGCTACGCTTCTCCAAACCAACTTCCTGAAGTTCATTGTAGTGGGCAGCCACTGCTGAGCTGTGTCCTTCTTCCAGTCTCTGAAAATAAGAGAACAGAACAAAAATAAGGATCAGAATATTGCAAAAATAAGCCTAAAGGAGCATCTAGCCTATATAAGGATAAAATACTACAGAAATCAGTAAAATTCAATAAGTAATGGCATTAACCACAGAAATCGTGCTAATTACGATCAGAAGTTGTTTCCCATTTCCTAGTTTTAAAAACATCTTGATTTTCATCTTCATCTTTCATCTGTATAATTTCAGTGTCAATGTCTTAATAAAACCACTACTCATCCAGAGTTCTAGTTTATTCAATTCAATAAATGACAATCAGTGGATGGACTTCCTACAAGAGAATAACAATAATCATAGCTATAATTATTTTTACTATAATTAAGTTGTTGTGAAGATTAAGTGAGATAATGTATGTAAATGAATTAGAACTTAATAGGCTTTGTTCAATGTCAACGTTTTTTTATTATTATTTGCTGTAAATCTAATACAAGTGTTTTCAACCTGTTCTCCCTGAGGCCCTAGGTATTCTGTAAAAATGCCCTGGACGAAAAGGGCTTCAGCGCCCTCTCCTGCCCCCTTTCAACCAAAGTGCCTCATCTTTTACCTATTCTACACATCAGGTTTGAGTGTAAGGTTTTCACTTGAAAAAAGGGTTCTGTAGCTAGCAAAAGTTTGAAAAATAATGTTAGTTCCTCTGCTACAGGGACTCACACTCCATCAATGACAAGCGTCTGGCTTATCTGCCACTTTCCTCTTCAGGGTAATGACAGAATTTTACTCATTCATCAGAGTACTCTTTCTCTCCAATTACAAATTCTGTCTCAGATTCCTTTGCTATATGTAAATTACTTGCTTATCCCTTGCTCTATAACAACCCTGCTAAATACCAGGCTTTTGCATCCACTTAGCTAAAACTGTATGCAAAATATATCAATCGGAGTTAGAAACATAGTTCTTTAAGCAATTACATTAATAAATGCAAAGCTGGGTGTGATTTTGAAATTTGACACCTTATGTAATGATCTCAACCAATTCAGACACAAAAAGAGATGAACATCTAATAAAAAAGGTAAAAGACTAAATCATCTGGACCTTATACGCTTGTTGTTTTTAAAACACTAAGAAAAAAGAAAACTATAAAAGCTAACTTTCAAGTTTCTAGTTCAACAAACATTCTGAAATAATATAAAATTAACTCATTAGCAGAGGAAGTTTCACCTTAATAAAACAATCAAGAGTTAAAAATCTACTCTGTCTTAACACCATATCCTATTAAAAAAAAGAACATTCTCAAATTATTAAGATATTAAAAAAAATTATTCTACATACGTCCCACATTTCAACTTGACTTGTTACATTATAAATAAAATACATTCAACATACTTTTCGTTTTTCTGAAACATCCTCAAGTTCTATTTTTCTCTTTTGCTGAGAGCCATCTCTGGTGGAAGATCCATTTGTTGGAACATCATCAGCTTCTATTTTTCTTTTCTTTGAAGTGCTACCATCATCTCCAGACCCTTTCTTCTCTGGGAAAATTTCAGCATCAAGTGTTCTTTTTTTATCTTCCCCACAACTAGAACTTTCCTTTATAAGATCATCTTCAAACTCCATTCTTCTCTTTTTTGGTGTGCCTACTCGCTCACAGATAGGAGCGTTTTCAGAAGGCCCAGACCCAGAAGCTGTTGTGTTTTCATTAATACTGAATGAAGACTCTGTTTCAGAATTTACTAATGGCTGTGTCTCTTCAAAAGAGATCTTTCCATATTCCTCTGCTTTTGCAGAATTTTCCATTTTTGATTACTTGGATGGTGGTAAAATTTCATAAACCAACACTGGAATGACAAAAATTTGATATTATTTGCAAACAATAATGCTAACACTTTAAAACAATTTTAACTAGAGACTAGTCATTTAATTTCAGTGATCAACTAAGAGTTTTAAAAAGTCATATAGTGGCAAGAACATTGAAAAAAGGTTACATATATGATGTACGAATTTCTGAATATGCCAGTAAAACAGTACTAATTATAATAACCAAACATACCTATAACCTTATCCATAAGTCACTACTGGCACTAAAACCGGCAAATGATGTTTTTGGTTAGTTCCATTTCTATCCTGTCCCTTAAATTACAGCCTCTGTACCCAAATTGTATGCTGAGGTGCCCTGGGGCACTACAACAAATTCATTTGGCACAGCATTGTGATATGTGACATCTGGCAAATATCACAGAAACTACTAGCTTCAAGTAGATCAGTTTTAACTGTGTAGATTGCACTGTATTCCTTTTAATGACATCATAACTTTGTGAAGCTGGGATTTTGGGGCTACTACAAGAAAATCAATGTGAAACAGGAAATGAGGGTAGTGGTATGGCATCTAACCTGATTTCAAGGCTTGAGCAGTTGTACAGTGCCCAGCAGGTGCACACATCCCCTTAGTAAGCAAATGCAGCTGTTTAAGAAATACAAATATTATTTTTTATTTCAATTTATGTGTATTTTTTAAAAAACCAGCTGCAAAGTCGTTAGGACATAAATACTTATAAAATTCTTTGGGCTGAACTACTTAATAAACTGTTAGGTTATTTTTTTTTTTGGCCTAAAAAAAAGGAGATACTAAGGAAATCACGAACAGAAAGTTTGGGAACTTACAGCAAGGACTTCTGAAAACCTTACTTCATAATCGGCATCCAAATTAAGTACAAAGTGAAGTGAATGGAATTATCTTTGGACAAGAAGTTTTAAGATTCAGCTCTGCAGCTTAATGACCATTAAGTTTCTTTCTAATTTTCTTCATGTAATATGGAAAAACCCCTTGCTAAGGAGTCAATTCTGACTCACAGTGACCCTATAAGACAGAGTAGAACTGCCCAGTAGGGTTTCCAAGGCTGTAGTCTATACAGAAGCAGACTGCCACATCTTTCTCCAGCAGAGCAGCTGGTGAGTTTGAACCACTGATCTTTCAGTTAGCAGCCAAGCACTTAACTAGGGCTCCTCGTAAAATGGGAAACCAAAAACCAAATCCACTGCTGTCAAGTCGATTCCAACTCACAGCTACCACATAGGATTTCCAAGGCTATAAATCTCCAAGGAAGTGGACTGTCATATCTTTCTCCCCTGGAGGCACTGGTGCTTTCGAACCGCTGACCTTTTGGTTAACAATCGCTTTGACTACTGCGTCACCAGGGCTCCTATCTGTAAAACGCGAAGGGGTGGGGAATAACTATTGAACAGGAATTGTTATAGTGCTTCATTTTTATTCATTTAACAAATTTACTCAACTCCCGCCACAGAGGAATTCAATGAAGCACTGTGTGAATTATGCATTCAAGAAGTTTACACCCTATGTACCACTATTAAAACATTAGACTATATTATTCAAACTAAATGGAAAAGACAGCAAAAGTCAAAGGATTAGTGAGATTCACCAAATTCAGATTAAATGTACACAACCTGAAAGATACCAAAAAAGGAATGAAAGTCTTTTGAGTTAAGAAAAACAATTTAAAGAAATGAACTTACTTAAGGGAATGAGGAAAAATAAGTCACTACGTCTTGAGTTAGGGAAGGGTTTCAAAGGAAATTGGGTGGCACAAAAGGTTAAGTGCTCCAATACTAGCTGAAAGGTTGGCAGTTCAAACCTACTCAGGGGCAGCTCAGAAGACAGGCCTGGTGATATGTTTCTGAAAGATCCTGACAATCCTATGGAGCACTGTTTTACTCTGACACACAGAGGGTCACCATGAGTCGGAATCCACTCAATAGCAACTAATAAAAACAACCCACCGTTTGAGATAACAAAAAATTCAGTTACCAAAATATGGAGTTGAATCAGAGGAAAAAAGCAAAAAAATCCCAAAAAATATTTTGCAGAACTACTTAACATGATTATCTAGTACAACTGACCATCAAATTATCAAATCCCTATCTTCACTTCTGCCATTTAATTCCTAATACAAATATACAGACAGGTTTTAAATTCAAATAAAGCCATCTGATAAACCTTTTTTGGCTGAAATTGTATTACCTAGAATTAGTATTGAGATTTAAGTGTGAACTGTACTTATATAAGCAACTCTATTTCCACAGATAAGATATCACAAACAGATAACTGATTAGGTCAGAATAAATGAGACAGCATTCCAAACAACCGCAGAAATGGATATTTCCAACCGAGTGTCAAAGTACAATAATGAACAAACTCCACACGGGAAGAGAGTTGTCCCTCAGAACTTTCGAGGAGGGAGCTCAGAGTAAACAGAGTCAACTGACTGGATATGCTATAAATCTCCAAACAGGCGTTTACAGCACGCTTTCCTTCGAGGTAAACCACATCTCTCGGTCATTTCAGTTTCTCAGTGAATGTCTGAGCAGGGTACCACGCTGCCAGGCTTAAGCTCAAGTAGGAGGTCTACCCAGGATCTGACAGCTTGACGGAGTCAACGCAGGGAGCTCAAGAGCATGCAGTAAAGAAGGGAATTCTTCAGCAAAGAGCATCCCCTTCCATCATTTGCGCGGCCTAGCACTCTTTACTTAACCTCTTGCTCAGGTTTCGGATCCGCCGCTCAAGAGAAACACTTTTTCGAATACAACACTCCCTTTCCTTCGGAGAGAACCAGCCTAATAAGTCTCTTTCAAATCTTGTTAGTATAAAATAGGAAGAGGAGGCGCGGCCCTGGGTGCTCCCTCAGTCTTGAGCAGCAGCTGCGCCTGTCGGCCCCCACGAATAGTGTTCGCTTTGCTTTCGGCTGAGGGCACAATAAGCCCCTCGAGACAGGTACTTGAGGCACAGGGCTAACGCCAAGCGAGCCCAGGGCAGGAGTTGAGTGCCCTTCTAACTCCGCTACGGTGGCGGAGGGCCTAAGACGAGGAGAAAACAAGGGCCGGAGCTCCAGCCGCCACACTCACCAGGACGAGCATCCACAATTCTATTTCCGGAAACTGCGAACTCGCGCGCGGGGTCCTTGTGACGTCATTTCTGGAGCGCTACTGGTCACGTGCCTCGGCTCTGGGCCGAGAGCGGAATTTCCCGCTGCCTCCGCGCAAGACTACGAGGCCCAGCGTGCCACGCGCTCGTCGTGGGGGCGTGGCTACGGAGTTGGGTGGTGGTGGGCTACCACCCGTGGCGCCCGGGATCTCGGTACCTAACCCGGTTCGCCAGGTCCCGGCCCGGAGGCGCAAAGGTTAGCGCTGAGGAGGGACACTCTTGCGGCATCCGAGGAGCTGTCGCCCGGCCTGCGCGGCGGTGCCGCCGTCCGTGGAGGTAGCCTAGGCCCACACCTCAGGGGTACCGGGTGGTGAGGAGGGCGCTGGCCACCGCGCAACGGGGGCGGAGGGTGGTGTTGGGGTGGGGGAGGGGATCGGGAGAGAGCCTGCGGAGAACGATCACGGGCCTGTTTTTCAGCCTGCTGCTCCGTAATGCTTTGCCCTGTGGTCTTTCCCTCCTCCCAGCTGAGGAAAGGGCCTGGGCCCTCGGTTAGGGACTGGCAGGTCATTCCCCGCTGCCTTATTTGGGAAGCCAGGGAGGCCATTATCGTGACAAACTACGGAGGAACGGGTATATATCGTTTCTTGTGAAACGCCTAAAAACATATTACTCTGTGTTGGGTAGGCTTTGGTGTGGGGTGGTTGCGGGAGGACAAAACACTTTCTTTGTCCATCCTCTCAGGTTTCCGCTGGAGAGTCAAAGACACCTTTACTAAAACTTAAAGCTCCGTATTTAAGGGCTTTCAACCCGGTATTAGGGTCAAAACTGTCGGTGTGATTTAAGACAGGTTGTTATTGTGTGTACATATTAATGTTGTACCCCCTTACCTTCCCGCTTTGAGTGTAAAAACCTGATCAGATTTACAATCCATCTTGAACTACTTTTAATCAGAATTGATCCCTTTAAAAGCGGCTTTGAAAATGCTTTATTAACCCGCCTTTTTGTCAGTAAGCCAAAACCGGTGTCCGCTCAGTCTATTCCGACTCATAGCGATCCTATAGGACAGGGTAGAACTGCCGCATAGGGTTTCCAAGGAGTGGCTGCTGGGTTCGAACTGCTGACTTTTTGGTTAGTCGCCATAGTTCCTAACAACTGCGCCACCAGCTTTGCCTTGGGGAGGGCCCCTGATGGCACAGTGGTTAAGCTTTTGGCTGCTAACCAAAAGGTCGGCAGTGTGAATCCACAGCCACTCCTTGGAAACGCTATGGGGCAGTTCTGCTGTATCCTATAGGGTCGCTATGAGTCGGAATTGACTCGGTGGCAACTTTTTTTTTTCTGCTTTGGGGAAGGCAACATTTGCAGTATGTACTTTCCAATCTAGTCACTTCTAAATTGTGGACGTTAACGCTTTGAGATTGGCTCAGACTTTAAACTAAGAATGAGGACTGTTTTTAACAAGTAAATGAACCATCAATTTCAAATGACTGCACTTGTGTTTTTTATTATATGCAGTGAGCTAGATGGAGAATTAATTTCAGGTCATGAACAACTTCGAAGGTATAGGTCCTAAAGATTGAATGTACTATTTACATATGCAGGCATTAGAACTAGGCAATTATGTAGCTCGTATTTGCTAATTCTGACGCTAAAGTTACTTGATTTTTAGAGAAAATAAGTCTAATTTTGATGTACTTTTTTTTCCTTTATGTTCAGGAAACTCCAAGATGGATTGATGTTTTGAATGGAATAGATAGACATCAACTTTGGTAGTTTTTATAAATTTTGCTGGAAATAATGTAAATTTAGTGGAAAAGAGGAAGAACTTTTGAAAGTAGTAGTAATGGAGGGAATAAATGGGCCATATAAAATGTCTAAAGCTACCATGGATTTGTTTCCACTCATTATTGCCTAAGTAATCGCCAGCTTTTTAGATATAATAATAATAATAGCATTAGGTAGTGTCTGAGTGGAGCTCTGGTGGCGTAGTGGTTAAGAATTCGGTTGCTAATGAAAAAAGGTTGGCAATTTGAATCCATCAGCCACTCCTTGGAAACCCTATGGGGCAGTGCTGCTCTGTCCTGTAGGGTTGCTATGAATGAATTGACACGGTGGCAATGGGTTTGGTTTTTTTATTTTAGTACTTTAGTGCCTTTTATGTGTCAAGTAATTCAATGAGGTAATCGCTTTCGTTATTTTTGTTTTACAGATGAGAATTAAGTAATTCGTACAAGGTAATGCAGCTAGTAAGTAGTGGATTTAGGAAGTGGGCCCAGGCAGCCTGGCTCTAGAGACAGGGCTCTGTGCTAATAAGGAGCTGGGGCCTGCCGGATGCCAGACCAAGAACTGGCAGTTGCCTGGCAGTGTGACTTTCAGAACATGTTTTGGTCCTTCATAACGCTTAAATATGCTCAGAGAAAATAGCAGGGGAAGGATGTTATGTCTGCTAGGACGTGAGCTCCACCAAGGCAGGATCATCGTTCAGTGTTTTATCCCAGGTGCCTTGAACTGTGCTTAGCACATGGTAAGTGCTCATTGAACTAATAGATCTCCAAGAAAGGTTTTAAAAAAAGAAAATCCATGTTTTTTTGTTTGTTTTTTAGGATATACTGGATTTATTTCAATTCATTTATAAGAATTTTCAGTGCCTTTTTTTGTTTGTGTGTGCATGTGTGTGCACGGACATGTGCGCTTTACGTGAAAGTTTACAAGCAAATTAGTTTCTCATTCAAAAATTTATACACAAGTTGTTTCATGACATCGGTTGCAATCCCTGCAGTGTATCGGCACTCTCCCCCTTTCCACCTCAGGTTCCCGGTGTCCATTTCTCCAGTTTTCCTGTCCCTTCCTGCCTTTTTGTCTTTGCTTTTGGGCAGGTGTTGCCCATTTGGTCTCATGTACTTGATTGATTTAAGAAGCATATTCCTCGTGTGTTGTTTCTTTCATGTTGTTGTTGTTAGGTGCCCTCAAGTCAGTTCTGACTCATAGCAGCCCTGTGCACCACAGAACAAAACACTGCCCGGTTCTGTGCCACACTCACAATCGTTGTTATGCTTGAGCCCATTGTTGCAGCCAGTGTGTCAGTCCATCTTGTTGAGGGTCTTCCTCTTTTTCGATAACCCTGTACTTTACGAAGCATGATGTCCTTCTCCAGGAACTGATCCCTCCTGACAACATGTCCAAAGTATGTAAGACGTAGTCTTGCGATCGTTTCTTCTAAGGAGCATTCTGGTTGTACTTCTTCAAAGACAGATTTGTTTGTTCTTTTGGCAGTCCATGGTATATTCAATATTCTTCTCCAACGCCACAGTTCAAAGATGTCAGTTCTTCGGTCTTTCTTATTTATTGTCCAGCTTTTGCATGCATATGAGGCAGTTGAAAATACCATGGCTTGGTCAGGTGCACCTTAGCCTTCAAGGTGACATCTTTGCTTTTCAACACTTTAAAGAGGTCTTTTGCAGCAGATTTGCCCAATGCAATGCGTCTTTTGATTTCTTGACTGCTGCTTCCATGGGTGTTGATTTTGGATCCAAGTAAAATGATTAATAACTTCAATCTTTTCTCCATTTATCATGATGTTGCTTATTGGTCCAGTTGTGAGGATTTTTGTTTTCTTTATGTTGAGGTGTAATCCATACTGAAGGCTGTGGTCTTTGAGCTTCACCAGTAAGTGCTTCAAGTCCTCTTCACTTTCAGCAAGCAAGGTTGTGTCATCTGCATATTGCAGGTTGTTAATGAGTCTTCCTCCACTCCTGATGCCCTTTTCTCCTTCATATAGTCCAGCTTCTCGGATTATTTGCTCAGCATACAGGTTGAATAGGTATGGTGAAAGGATGCAACCCTGATGTGCACCTTTCCTGACTTTAAACCATGCAGTATGCCCTTGTTCTGTCTGAACAGCTGCCTCTTGATCTGTGTACAGGTTCCTCATAGCACAATTAAGTGTCTGGAATTCGCATTCTTTGCAGTGTTATCCATAATTTGTTATGATCCACACAATTGAATGCCTTTGCATAGTCAATAAAACACAGGTCAACATCTTTCTGGTATTCTTTGCTTTCAGACAGGATCCATCTGACATCAGCAATGATATCCCTGGTTCCACATCCTCTTCTAAATCTGGTGTGAATTTCTGGCAGTTCCTTGTTGATGTACTGCTGCAGCCGCTTTTGAATGATCTTCAGCAAAATTTTACTTGTTTGTGATGTTAATGAGATTGTTTGATAATTTCCACATTCGGTTGGATCACTTTTCTTGGGAATAGGCATAAATATGGATCTCTTCCAGTCGGTTGGCCAGGTAGCTGTCTTCCAAATTTTTGGCACAGACAAGTGAGCACTTCAGCACTGCATCCATTTGTTGAAACATCTCAGTTGATAGTCCGTCTATTCCTGGAGTCTTGTTTTTCACCAATGCTTTCGCTGCAGCTTGGACTTTTTTCTTCACTACCATCGTTTCCTGATCGTATGCTACCTCTTGAAATGGTTGAACATAAACCAATTCTTTTTGGTATAATGACTCTGTGTATTCCTTCCATCTTCTTTTTATGCTTCCTGCATCATTTAATATTTTCCCCATAGAATCCTTCATTTATGCAACTCGAGACTTGAATTTTTTCTTCGATTCTTTCAGCTTGAGAAATGCTGAGTGTGTTCTTCCCTTTTGGTTTTCTATCTCCAGCTCTTTGCACATGTCATTATAATACTTTACTTTGTCTTCTTGAGCCACCCTTTGAAATCTTCTGTTCAGCTCTTTTACTTCATCATTTCTTCCGGTTGCTCTAGGTACTTCACGTTCCAGAGCAAGTTCCAGAGTCTCTTCTGATACCCATTTTGGTCTTTTCTTTTCTTTCCTGTCTTTTTATAGGCCAGTCTTATTTTTGGCTGAATGGTGGACTTCAGAACTGGCTTCAGTTCTGAATTATCAGGGTGTTTGGGGGCCGTAGTCTTGGGAGTTTTTCTAGGCTCTGTCAGACCAATAAGTCTGATCTTTTTTTGCGAATTTGAATTTTTTTCTACATTTTTCTCCCACTCTATCTGGGACCCTCTCTTGTAATCCCTGTCAGAGTGGTCAGTGGTGGTAGCCAGGCATCATCTAGTTCTTCTGGGCTAAGGCTGGTGGAGGCTCTGGTTCATGTGGTCCATTAGTCCTTTGTACTAATATTTTCTTTGTGTCTTTGGTTTTCTTCATTTTCTTTTGCTCGAGACAGGATGGGATCAATAGATGTATCTTAGATGACTGCTCGCAAGCTTTTAAAACCCCAGATGCTACTCACCAAAGTCGGATATAGAACATTTTCTTCATGAACTATGTTATGCCAGTGGACCTAGATGTCCCCC